TGCTGTTATCAAGGACTCAGAAAATAACAAAGGCAGGGGGTAGGTTTTCTACACTGTTGATGGGAATGTAAACTAGTGCAACTATTTTGATTTGATTCAGGTCCTCAGTACTTTCCTGAAAGATCTAAATTCATTGAACTACATCAGTGCATGCATGCCCATGTTTATAGCTGCACACCTCACCACAGTTAAATCACAAAGTGGCCTATATGCTCAACAACAAACGATTAAAGCATAATATATATACACAATAAAGTACTACACAGTCATAAAAAAGGATAAATTTGAGTCATTTGTAGGAAAATGGGCAGATCTTGAGACCATAATGCTAAGGATAATAAATCACAAAAGGTTAAATATCACATGGTTTCTCTAATTATAAACAATTTAAAGAGCAAAATAAACCGCTATGTTAAGAGAGATGCAGTCTCTATGGACACGGGACTACGGGGGGCGGGGGGAGCACGAGAACTCGGTCTGGCCACGCGCGGAGGCGGCCTGGACGCGGACCCTGCAGCGACCCAGAGCTGCAGCCGGCGGCTGATCCCCAATCGCTTCTCAGAGCAGCGGCTGCCTGAGGTAGCACTCAGGGCTCTGGGTCCTAGCCAGGCAGAAATTCTGAACCGCGAATTCTCTGGGACACTAGAGGGCGCACGCGAGACGGACCCCCAGCTCCACACCGCGGCATAGGGCGCCAAGGCAGCACGCAGGCGCAGTCGCCATCCGTGGCTTTAAGAGAGTGGACAAAGCGGAGTGGGGCAAGGAGTGGGGAGGGCCGGGGAGGGGGCCATGCACAGCAGGGCGAGGAGGGGCCCCGATGAGTAGAGGGCGGCAGAGAGGTAGGTGGTGGGGCATGGGCAGAGCTGCTGCCGGAGCGTGCGAGGTTGAGGGGGGGAGGGGAAGGGGCGGGGCGTGCGGGATTGGGAGGAGCGAGAAGCGGGGAAGGGCGGGGCAGGAGGAACGAGGAGTGGGGAGGGGCAGAGCGGGCAGGGAAAGGAGGCGGAGTAAACTGGGGGCGGGGCGAGGAGGGGCGGGGCTAGGCCGGCTGGGGCTGGGATAGGAGCCCGAAGGCGCCAAGGCGGGGCAGAGGGCAGGAAGGAGGGCGGGGGCATGCCTGTGGGGCGGGGCCAGGAGGTTTGGACGGGGCGGGCCGAGTCCTGACTGGGGCGAGGGTAGGCGCTCGAGGGGGCGGGGCGAAGCCCAGCGGGACTGAGATAGGAGCCTGAGGGGGCCGGGGCGGGGCGGAGGCGGCCCCGCGCGCCCCCGGCTTGCTTTCTTTCTTTCTTTCTTCTTTCTTTCGTCTTTGCTGTGTCTTAACTTCGCCCCTGGCCTGGGTCGCGGACCTTGCCGTCCTTGTCGCCGGACGCCACAGCTGCACTTAGGGACCGGCGCGTGCACCGCAGTCGCCCCCGAGCGCCCCGCTATGCCCGGCTGCCCCGGCCGCCGTGGCCGCACGCCGCTGCTCTGCCCGCTGCTGCTCTTGTTCTGTGCGCTGGCGCCCGGCGCCCCCGGGCCGGCACCAGGTGGGTGGCCTCTCCTCGGGACCCCACGCCGCCGTCACCGGTCCTGCCGGACTAGCCCCCGCTTCCCACCCGGCAGTGCTAAGCGCCTCCTCCCCCAGCGCTGCCTGGTCCTGTGTCTCCCAGTGGCAGTGACGAAGCCGGGGCCTCTGGAAGAGCTGCGCCCCCAGCCCTAGTTTCAGGTTTTATTCTGAGGTTGGGTGTCGCTGAGTCACTAATGACCCCTGGGTGAGTTCGAACTCGTGATCCTCCCTTCCTTGAGTCCTAGGTTTCCAGCTTGACCCTGGAGCGCCTTCCTCCCGGGGTCCAGCTGCTCCTCCATAGCGCGGCAGCCAGGGTGCGAGTCCCCAGCCCAGCCCCGCTCCGATACACTTCCTCCCTCTAAGCTGCCTCCTAAGCGAAGGCGCCAGGGTCCTCAGCAGCCTCTGACAGCCCTGCTGCCTGCGGCTCTGGCCGGCGTCATGTGCGTGGAAGCGGTGCTCGGGTCACGGGGCTGTGGTGTGGATGGGCCAGCCGGGGACTTGACAGTCCGCTGGGGGACTGCACCTGGTGCGAGACGCTTGACCGGATCCTAGCCGGCGCGAGGTCTGGTCGCGCTGCTGGAGCTGGACGCAGGGCTCGGAGGGGCGACATCGAGCAGCACCCAGCCCGGTGGGTACACACTCATTAGATCTTAAAGGCTCCCGAAGGCAGCGCAGAACAAACCCTCACTGGCGATCGGCCACAATGAAGCCAATTAGGGGGCTGCACCCGGGTTGAGACTAGACTCCTGGGCGGGCCGCATGTCGAAGCTGTTTGTCTCCATCTCAGGCTGGATGAGGACGAACTGGCACAGGGAGTGAGCGGCATAAAGTGTCCCCAAGGAACACCCCCAGCCGGATGTGGGTCCAAGCCCGCGGCAACTGTGGGAAGTGACGGGGGAGGTGATCCAGCCTCATGGGATTCGCGTGAGAACTGAGATCCTGAATATCAGTTACTTCACACAGGACAATGGTTTATGTTAATCTTCCAGGCAGAAGATTAATAGAAAGAATTAGGAATTCTTGGAGAGTCTTGCAACCTGAACCTCTGTCTGGGAATGGAGATCACTGGGCACTCTCCGCTAGTGACCTGGGCACTAAACTCTGCCCTATGTGCCCCTGTTGTCCCCTCCAGCATGGGACTCCCCCACCCTCTTACTCCAGATCTCTGACCTGAGGCTGCCTCCTTTTTCTTCTAAGCCTAGGAGGTTCTTGCCCCAAAGGCTTTCCTTCTCTGGCCAAAGATCACTTTCTGGACTGGGTTTTAGGAGAGGGTTATTGACTGTTTCTTCACCAGGGACTTGCAGGCCTGCTGGGGCTCCCTTGTCTCCTACCCCACAAATTGTGCTGCGGGGTGGACAGGCACTATGCACACCAAGGAGTAGGCTCAGCAAGGCTGGTGTCACTCAGAACTGCTGCACCTCCCTACTCTGCTTATTTTTCCCCTTACCATGTGCTGCAGGTCATTTGAAGGCTGAATTTTAGCTCGGGCTCTTGATAGGGAGGTGAAGGTGAACACATTGTTGGCGTTTCTCTGGAAGGAGCCCCACAGTGACAGTTTGCCACCCAGGGGTGATATTCAAAGTATTTAATAGGTGCTCAGTCCCGTCAGAGCAGATGCAGCAGAACAGATTCAGCCACAAAACACTAATGCTTATCTTAAGTTAAGCCAGCTTTAACCTTATAGACTGCACACACTCAAGTAGAGTAGACTGGGTAATGCCAGTTTCAGGCACCCAAGACTCCACCAGGATCTATAGGACAGTCGTTAAATTTTTAATTCATTGTTCCCCTCTCTAACTATATTTTAATGACAAAACAACATAAGCTGTTTATAAAAGTCATTCAGAATAAAACAAGAAAATAACAAAGTCACATCCTATAAGTATTTTTAAAACCTAAACAGAGATGAAACAAATTTTTAAATAAATACCTAAGGGAGCTGGGCATGAGCTCAGAGAGCACTTGCCTGGCATGTGACAAGAAAGACAAAAAAGGAAGAAATGTAAGAGAAAAGAAGTAAGAGCAATTTAGAACTTTTCTTGCTCTTCTGTGTGCCAGCAATGGTGTAAACATTTATGCACTTGGTTTATAATATAGTTGTATGTAATGGAGCTGGATTTAAACAGACATTCCAGCTCCACAGCATACTGGTCCTAATGGCATTTATACACAGCGTAGTGTTACTTAGCCCTACTCATGGGTCTTTTGTTTATGTCTGCAGTGCTGGGGATCAAACCCATGACCTGGCAAGCACTGCACCACTGAGCTACACCCCAACCCCTTTCATGCTTTTGAATTTGATGGGCTGTTTCTTTATGACTCAGCTACAATCCCATCTTGCAATATTTGCCCAAGGTCTAGAGCAGGGGTTGGTACCAGGACTGCACACCCATGAGAGCATGGGTCCCTCCCAGGGACAGTTTCTCAGGCTATTGGGGCCATTATCCCAGAAGATACCTGCCCCTGCCCTTCATTTGAGGACACTACAGTTCCTAGACATATGCCAGTAGCTTCTGTTCTTCTATATAGAGACTTCAAGTCTGGCTCTCATTGATGCTACATGAACTTCGTGCCTTCAGCTGCTCTGGCTATCGTTATTATTGTGGAAACTGTTGGTGCCATTCATTCATCAAAGGCTTGGAGAGCTGCTGTCATCTTATTCTCTGTCTCTTTGCCATTTTCAGCCCTCAACTTGGGCTGTCCTCCTTTCTGTTTTCTGATTTGGATTCTCCATGCAGGTGAGGAGACTGAGGCCCAGAGAGGTGGCATAACTGAGCTCACACAACCGCTGTGTGGCCTGCTTAGGACCTGAGTCAAGGTCTTTCTACTTTCAAGCCCATGTACTTGTCAGGATATTACAGTGTAATTTCATTGTCTCATTTCATATGTCTGTGCGAAGGGTAATGTCTTGCTGCTTCTCTTCCTTTCTAGTTTTCCCACTTCTTGGAGGCTCTGTCTCATGGTCTTTACCTCAGGATGCCATCTCAGTGGGCCGTCTCTGGTGAGACATTTTTTCACTGCAGTCCCTCCATAGTGTGTCTCTTCCTCTGGGCTGGACCTTCTCAGCACCATGCCAGGGAAGGGGCATAGATTCCCTCTTCCCACTTCTCTATTTTGAGGATATTGTTTGCATTTTCCTGGTTTTTGGAGCACCTGTTTCTCCTGCACAATTAGTAGCCAAGGACCATACACCATATACCAATGGACCAGCCTTTTATAACAGAAATGAGCCAGGCATGTTGACACCTGCCTGTAATCCCAGCACTCGGGAGGCTGAGACCAGAAGATCGTTGTAAGTTTGAGACCAGTGTGGGCTACAAAGTGAACTCAAGGCCAGCCTGAACTGCACAGTGAGATCCCATCAAAAAAAAAAAAAAAACAATTATAATTATATATATATATATATATATATATATATATATATATATATGTAGAGAGAGAGAGAGAGAGAGAGAGAGAGAGAGAGAACAAGGCTGATAAGGAGAGAAATTTGTCTTGCAAATGGGACTATGGGGCCACTTGGTCTACCTCTTCTTTTCCACATTTTGGTTAGAGAGTTAGTTTTAACAGAGTGAAAGAAAATAAAATGTGATGCTCATGGGCAACCTACAGTCAGCCACAGTGTCGGGATGAGGGAGTGTGAGACTGAGCCGGAAGGGGGAGATAGACCCCTCTAAAAGAGACCAATTCTTCTTCCCCAGCTACTTCTGCCAGGTAGAAATTTAGGCCTGACATGGATGGATAATGTGATTTTTCAAGAGAAGCTGAGTATTGATATTTTTGTAGAAAAACATGGGATTCTTGAACACTGGCAGCTGGTTCAAATGTTCTTCAATGTTTTTTCCAGCTAAAACAGACCTAAACAAAATCAGGTCTGCAAGCTGTAGATGTAGTTACAGTCCCAAATGCTTTATTAAGTGGCCAGGGCTGTAAGTCACCTGAACTTATCAAGCCCAGCATCTTCCCTCAGACTCCCTGGATTAGGAAACTGCAGAGATTTCAGGCCCCCCCGGGGGGGAGGGCAGGGCCTTAGATCTGGAATCAGAGTATCTGGGCTGGGGCAGGGTGCCTGCACTTTTTCAAAGCTCTGTAGGTATCTCTTATGGGCAGCCAAGTTCACTCCGAGAGAAAATTTCCTAACTTGCCTCATGGTCAGAGTTCCCCCGAACTGCTGATAAAAACACAGCTTCCCAGTCCTATTTCCTGGTGATGCTGAGTCAGTGAGCCTGGGCTGGGGCCTGGGACGTTTTTAAAGACATTCTTGTCCAGGAAGTCTGGAAAATCTTTGTACTTGCCCTCCTGAAGCTCACTGATGGAAACACTTGCTCAGAGCCACAGGCCAGCGTCCCCAGCCCACAGCCAGGGACTCCAGGAGAAGGCTCTTTGGGTCCTGCCCTTTGGGACAGCTGTGGGTCATGTGACGCCTGTAGGAGTAGGCACGTGGCTGGTGTGTGCAGGGTGCTCCACATACCCATGACACACAGGACGCGGAGAGGATGAGTTTGGCTCCACAGTGAGGCTAGGGAAACCTCCAGCTTTGGCCCAGCTTCCCTTCAGCTTTGGCAGGCAGCCCAGAGTCCTGGTGGGACATCTGCAGGGCACCAGACATTGCTGTGGGCCTGAGGAGTCCCTGTTGTGACCAGTTAGGATCCAAGAGCTGGGCATAAACCCAGCAGGTCTTTGAGGCACCTGGGGCTAGCAGAAACCCCGGGCTGTTGGGTTTTTTAACCGTTTCTCAGAGCCTGGGGATTTCAGAGGAAACTGAGGCTCTCTCTCAGACAAACTGCTGGGAAAACAGCAGAATATTTTGAATTTTGAAGAGACAAAAACCATTCAGAAAATGTGCACTTATGTCTCAGCTCTGCCAAGCTCACTGTGTGCCTTTAGACCTGTCTTTCTGCCTCTTGGAGACTTCTTTCCTTTACTTTCTCACCTAGGAGACAATTTAGGTGTTTGCCACAGTGGTGGCAAACAGATGGCACATGTGCCACAGCAGGCTACTCATATCATTGGAAGCTCTAAAAGGTTCACCATCACGGGTCTGGGAGATCTTTCTATAGGTGTCTCAGCCTGGTGTCTGTAACCTAAGGGGCCTTGAATTTCAGGGATCTATAAACTTGAATCAAAAATATTACATCTCTAATTTTCCTTTTTCTTTTTTTTTTTTTCTCTCTTTTTTTAGACAAGGTTTCTAAAACTGAGAAACAGTTCATCCACTCCTCACACAACCTCAAGAATAAGTTCCAGTGTATCTCCATTCTGCAGATTCAGTCCTTTGTAGTTTAGACTGGACTTGAATTCACTTTGTAGTCCAGGCTGGTCTTGAATGCAAAGCGATCCTCCTGCCTCAGCCTCCCAAGTGCTGGAATATTTTGGGCAAGATCTCGCTATGCAGTTCAGGCCGGCCTCAAACTTACAGAAATCCTCCTGCCTCTGCCTCCCAAATGCTGTGATCACAGGTGTGTGCCATCACACCCAGCTCTAATTTTTCTAATCTCCAGGTGAAACTCATTATTTCCTTCAATTATGCATATTTCCAATAAGTCTCAATAGCTTTAGCAGCATCTGTGATTTTTTTCTGTCAGTAAGGGGAAAAAACCATTCATCTTCTCTCATTACAGTTGCAGGTAACTCAAGACACACACTCATCAGTACTTCAAAATCACCACAGTTACCAAGTTTCCCATTAGGCCTTATTTAGTGAATTAATAAAGGACTGAGTAATTTCATACTCTGTTCTCCCTACCTGCCCCCATACTGGGACGCTTTAATTGCTGAGCTACATCCTCAGCCCTTTTTATTTAATTTTGAGACAGTCCCGCTAAGTTGCTTAGGCTGGTGTCAAACTTGCAGTCCTCCTCCTGCAGCCTCAGATAAGCAGAGCTTACAGGCCATGAGACACTGCAGCCAGCTAGCTCTTGCATCTAAAAGAAACGAAAGCTGCTCCTTTGAAGTGGTAAGTTCAGAAGTCTGGGAGTCCCCTCCCCACTTCACCTCCCCTATTCTCTATCTCCCAATCCCAGGAGACTTGGAGACACCTGCAGCATCCTCAGGCAGGTGACAGCGTGTTTTATAGTAGCAATTATAACCATCATCTTGGCCTCCTGGTTCAACCAGTGGGCCAGGCACTAAGTGGAGAAACTCAGTTCATCCACTCCTCACACAGCCCCAGGAGTAAGTTCTATTATTCCGCAAATTCAGTCAACAAATATCTCCACTTACAGCACATAAAATCATCAACAAAGAAAATAAAGACCTTTGCCTTTCTAGAGTTTATACTGGAAGGAAGGGAAGAAAACAAATGGAAAACATAATTAAAATCTTGTATCAAAGTACTGGGGATGGGGAGGTCAGCACTTTCTCACCCAGAAGTCAGTCTGGAGCCCATTCAAATAGGTGAAGTTAGCCCATGGGAAATTGAGAGGAGTGCTTGGAGCAGGAATGGGGGTAAAAACCCTTAAAGCATGAACCTACTGGGCTGTCCTGGATCCTCAAGGAGCCATGGCTGCAGACAGAGATGCAGGAAGCAAGGCTGCTGCCATCCTCTCCCTGGGCTTCCTGCACCACTACCAGAATCCATCACTCTAATGAGGTGGGAGCTCTGTTCAGGTTCTGAACAGAGGATGACCTTGGTCATCAGATCAAGAGCTTAAGGAATCCTGGCTGCAGTGCTAGAAACTGCCTCTTGAACGTTTCCCAGGGCAGATGGTGGGGTACCTGAGAAGTCACCAGAGATGAAATGGCAGAGTTAGTGGACACCCAGCAGGACCAGAGTCCACACATCCTTGGCCCAGGGCCCTCACAGCTACTCTCAGGTCCCATGGTCATGGTTTTCTCTCTCCCAGCAGAATCTGCAACTGACAGCCTGATGTCATTGGATGTTGTGCACCCAGTGCGTGTGGACGCAACCGGCACCTTCCTGTCGTTTGAGCTCTGGCCACACACTGTGCAGAAGCGGGCAGCACCAGATTCAGATTTAGATTCAGGGCCTGCACCTCGTGCTATGCCCACCTTCTTCCAGCTGCGCTACCGTGGGCGGGAGCTGCGCTTCAATCTCTCAGCCAATTCGAGGCTGCTGGCACCAGGCTTTGTTCTCGAAACTCGTCGCTTGGGTGGCCTGGGCCACACACACATCCGACCACACAAGCCTGCCTGCCACCTGCTAGGCCGTGTACAGGACACACAGCTTGAGGGCGGCCGAGCAGCCATCAGTGCCTGCGATGGGTTGGTGAGTGCCAGGAACCCTTCCTGGCCTGGCATTTTGGTCACCCACTGTGTCTTCCTCTGCCAGTCTCCTAAATAGAAGTGAGAGCACAGGGCCTGTTGGTCACTAGGATAGTGGCTTTACCTGAGCCAGAATCACCCTTGGGTTTTGACAAGCAGGTGTGGGAAGGGCCTCACACTTGCCCTTTTGAGAATGTCCCAGGCAGCACTGATGCTGCAGGCTCCATGTGGAACATCACTGTTTGTGGAGCTAATCAGTGGACCCTGGGGTTTACTGTCACCTGGGGCTGCTCCTCCTTAGTCTTCCGTAGACCAGCTCCCTGTCTTAGTTCTCATCACCAAGACACCATCCTCAACACCCACGACTTAAAGGAGAGATTTATTCTGGCTCATGTTTCAGCCCATGCTCTGCATGCATGAAGAAATGATGGCAGAGGGGCCTGGTGGATAAAACACTGCTCACTGCATGACAGGCTAAGCCCAAAGGCAGCGAGACCAGAGGGCATAACCAGGGAGAGAGGCAGACCCAAGCCAGGCCTCACCTCGAAACTGCAAGCCAACTGTAAGCCTGTCATCTAGTCATCTTCCACAAGCCTCATGAGGCTCTTGGGGGACATCTGGATCTAAACCACAACCCCCTCCCTTGCTCTTTAACCACTCTGCAGGGGTCTTCAAGCCCCCTGACCCCTTCACCCAGACCAGAGGTCTGGGGAAAGCAGGCCTCAGTTTTTGGGCCTTGTGCCCTAATTGCTTCCCCTACTGCAGCTGCCAGAGCCACTTCTGCTAAGGGTGGCACAGGGCCCCATTCTGTCCCTGCTTTGTGCCCAATACTGCCCTCCCAGTTCTGAGGATGAGGTGTGGGAGCAGTGGTGACAGGCACATGTTCTTGGCCATCCACTGTTCCCGTAGGGCCCTTGCATCAGTATCTTGAACCATGATAGCAAAAGTCGTAAGGACAGGGCAGCCTCCAGTACAAGTTTCAGACCCCAGACCTTGGATTCCCCACACCCTACCTTTGCATAATGCCTCAGGGAGCCTGGACAGCATCTGTGCTTATCATGCAGGGTTCCAATTTCACAGATGAAGAAATGACTCAGGGAAGAATATGCCTAAGGTTTCTGGTCATCCAGAGCTATAGACTACATTCAGATGGGGTCCCTAGTCCCCAGAATGGATGCATAGTTCTGCCCTCTAAGCTCCTTGGGCCTGTGTGACCCAAGCAAGGGTAGATTTGGTGCCAGAGGGGAGATCCAAGCAAGTGGCACCTTTGTCCCTGTTGGGGTCCTGAACATCCCAGGGAGGTGGGCTCTCTTGAGATTCTTCCATTCCCTCCCTTTTATGGGGGACATGCCAAGGCACCTTTGTTTCCCACTCGTGATCAGTTCTGCCCCAGGGAGTGGGCTGTCCTGGGCTGTGAACATCTCAGTGGCTTGGACATGGGCAGAGTTACTTGTGAAGTGACCACTACATCAAGGGGGCCAAGGGAAGATCACACAGTCTGGTTGTCTGGGAAGAGCATGATGGCTGGGAAAACAAAGTAGCCTGAAAGCCTGGATACAAGTTATTTGAGCTAGAGAAATATAGAGGACTCTGCAGGAACCATTGTCCCCAGATTTAGGGGTAAACCATTTCTCCTTCCTCAGGAGATGGACCTGGCATCCTAAGAGAAGGGCTCTGAACTCCTCTGCAAAGCCTCTGTGCAGAGGGCAGAAAAGGACATTCCGGCAGAGGGCAGAGTATGGACAAAGGCCCAGAGGGAGACAAGTGCTGTGCATATCTGTGGCAGGCACAGGGAGGGCTAGTGGAGCAGAACAGGTCTCCGGGGTGGTGGGATGGGCAGCCAGGCACCAACCCTCCCTGTATGACCCTGCTGCTTCTTCTCTAGAAAGGAGTTTTTTGGCTGTCCAACGAGGACTACTTCATTGAGCCCCTAGACAAGGCTCCAAAGCAGCCCAACCATGCATGGCCCCATGTGGTATACAAGTACCAGACCCCTGAGAGGTGGGCAGAGCAAGGTGATATCCAGGCTTCACGCACCTGTGGGGTACAAGGTATGCTCATCTCTGTAGTTTGTGGCGCTAGTGGGCCTGGGGACTTGGAAGGCCTTTGTGTGGCATCATTGGCTCTGCCAACCACTATTCTTCAAGTGTCCCAGCCAGTGGCAGCAGAGACCTTAGCTAGGCCCTCACATCTCTGTTCTGGGTGCAGAATAACTGGCTGTATCATTGAGGACCTAAAGCACAGTACCTAGGGCCCCCTCTGCAGAGTAGCCATAATGCCAGCCAGTCTAGGAAAGAAACCGACTGCTGAGAGCTCCTGGAGTTTGAGGACCGCTTTACTAACTCCAGCTGCCCACCATTCAGGGACTGTTTGCCAGAAGAGATATCCATACAGACACACCTCTTGGCCTCAGTTTCCCCAGCTTCATGGAGGTGCTTCAGGGCAGTGGACCCTCAGTGGGATCAGCTGGATTGAGTCTTGGACCTCCTGGGGAAGAGGTTAGACCAGGGATCTACATGTGGAGTCAGGGAAAGAAACATGCAAGGAGACGGGACAACCTCGTATGAAGAGTCAGCCTGGAGGTAGATCATCTAATCCTATTTGTAGGAGTAATCCTGGAAATCAGAATCAGAGAAGGGAAGTGGCTAGGCCAGAGCCACACAGTGTAGTCTGGGGGAGCCCCAGGAAGGAAATCAGGCCTCTCCTTTGTGATTTGGTTCTATTTGCACTGTGCCAGAAAGAGCTCACTCAGGAAAGGCCCTCAGGACACAGGTTCTGGGCCAGCTAACCATACCCCATTGGGGGTTTTAGTGTCCCCAGAGCTGGAGCGTCAACAAGAGGACCGGGAGCAGCCACAACCGGGAAAGCAACAACGGCAAAAGCGTTTGTACCATGGCTCGGTCAGCGAGGAGAAGTGGGTAGAAACCTTGGTGGTGGCTGACACTAAAATGGTGGAATACCACGGGCAGCCACAAGTGGAGAACTACGTGCTGACCATCATGAATATGGTGAGGCTGTCATGGTACCAAATACCATAGCAGTGGTATTTGGTAGGGGAGGAGGGACTGCAGTGGGTGATATTCAAGGAGGGTGTGGGGCAGAGTGACTGGCAAGCTGCATCCCAGATGCAAATCCAGGCTCCAAGCAGGAAAAAAGGTTCCCAAGTTTCCAAGTCCACAAGGGATGTGACCTGGAAGGTACATCAGGAGAGGGTGCTGCCACAAGGCTCCTCAGACATCACCCAGCTGAAAAACATATACCCATCCCCCACTTTTGGCACCCAGAATGCTGGGTAGAGTGCTGCATGGGGACACTGTGGGTGCCATGCCACTCATTGGCACTTGGATGGGGGGGTGGGACACCAAGATGGCCACTGTTCTGTGCCGCCTGGGAAGCTCAGCAACCATGTGATTCATCCATCCTGCCCTGAACCAACCCTCTCCTATGTCCAGACCTATGCTGGGTGCTGAGGACACATGTCCTGCCTAGACTTGTGCATACATTAGAGGGGCAAGGATCTGCTCAATTCTTGGTTGATCATCTGGTTACCTTGAGCAAGTAATTCATCGATGAATGAGGGAGGAGGGTAGCACTTCATAGGGCTGGAAAACTGCCTTTGCTCCCTTGACACTTGAATCAACACAGCCCCTTGAAACAAGTGGCTGGAGAGCTGCATAGGTACCATGTCTGCTATAGTCCAATGGCATGGAGCACTGTGGCTCCCAGAGCCAATGGCAGGCAAGTGGTGCCTTCCCTGAGGGACAGATAGAAACCTTTGAGCAGCCAGACTCCTCCTGCAGCTCCTGGAGAAAGCTCAGCCCTAGCACTTGTAGCAACCCCAACAGGCCTCTGCACAGCCCTACTTCTCTCCAGCTATGCAGCCCTGCAATCCAACCATCTTCCAGAAGCCCCACCTATAAGTTCATGAGGCTCTTGAAGGACATCTTCATAAACTCTAACATCCCACCTTTAACCTCTAAAAGACTCAACCATATCCCTTTTTTTTTCAAAATCCATTCAGTCCATCTCTAAGAGTTGCCAAAGCTCTAAGTCTCAATATTGCTGAAAAGTCCAAGTCCAAAGTCCCCTCTGTGGCTTAAGGCAAACTCTTAGCTGTGGATTTCTGTAAAATCAAAAGAAAGTTAAACACTGCTGCCATACAATGACACAGGGTAAACATTCTCCTTCGAAAAGGGATAGAAAGCAATGGGACCAAAACACACTGAAATGCAGAAGGGCAAACTTGAAGTGCTATAACTCCCTGCCCAACACTCAGGGCAATCTGTGGCATGATATGGGCTCCAAATGTCTTGAGTATCCTTACCCCTAAGGCATTTCCACTGATTTTGCCCCTCATGACATTTTTCTACTGACTGCCTATGGCTTTCCTCAAACATTTTGTGTTCCTGGCTTCTCCATCTTCCTGGGGTCTCCACTGTGCTTTTGGCTTTATTCCCGCAGCCTCACACACAGTCCTCTCAGTAAAACACAGCCTGGCCTCTCAAGCCTTCATCTGAAATCTGGCTGGAAACCTCCATGATTGTATAACATGCTTGCACCACATAGATGATGCCAAGGTCTGCAGCTGCCAGCTCCAATAATAGCTACACCCTTTTGCATCATGACTGTAGAAACTCTTGGGTGCCTGGATATTTGAGCACCATGAGAAGAATCCCAGGAATCCATTTTCCCAGATGTGTTTCCTAGTAGGGTACCCTGGGGCTGTCTTCTAAAAGGAAAGTCTTTCACTTTTGCAATTTTGAACCTGAGAAAAATAAGATCTTGCTGATTGCTATCATGGCATTATCCATTTTTTTCTGTTATCCTAATCCAAAGTACTTGGCTTCTTTTTAATATTAATCTTTTCATCTAGGCTCTCCTGTCCTCTATATTTGCAGACCTCAACTTTATAGGGCACTCCTTTCCAGCAGAAACTTTTGAAATCACTCAGCTGTGCTGTTTCCTCTTGATTTTCAGTGTAGAACAAGCTAAATGCCCTCAGCAGTAACCATGCCACAGCCTGAATGTTGGGCTGCCTTGAAACTTCCTCTGCCAGAATAAATGGGCCTCCACACTTAATCTATGTCTCCTGAAAAGCCTCAAGATATGAGCAAACCATAGATAAATTTTCTGCCAGAGTATAACATGGTCTTGAGTCCAAAAGCCAGTGGAGGGCCAGGGATTAGCTCAGTGGCATAAAGTGCCTGCCTTGCAAACATATGATCATGAGTTCCATCCCCAGTACCAAAAAAAAAAAAAAAGCCAATGGAGTCTTTGTTGCTAACTGAAACCTGAGCCCAGTCTTTACTATCTACCTTCTTATCAGCATTATGGTCTTTGAGCTCTGCCCAGAATCTCTGATCAGCATCTCTAGCTAGCATTGCCAGACATTTCCAGATTCCTCCTATGAACCAATTCCAAAGGCTTTTGAACTATGTGGTCAGGCCATGTCACAGAAATAACCCCATTTCTCTGGTATCAAAATCTGTCTTACTCGCTTCTTCACTGAGACAAATACCCATCACTCACATTTCAGTCCCTAGTTATCTGGCTCCAAGGCAGAACAGCATGGCAGAGGAAAAATTGCTCATGTCATGGCAGACAGAAAGCAGTGAGAGAAGGGAGGAGCTAGGGAGAGAGATGAACACTTCCAAGGCTGTGCAACAGAAACTTGCCTCTTCCCAGACCTGCTTCCTGATAGCGAATCAGCTATAACAGCCCCTAATCCAGGCACCTTACAAAAGCCCACCACTGAGTACATGAAGCTCTTGGGGGACATCTACATATAAACTGTAATAAGCCACATCTTTTGGACAGGTGGCTGGCCTGTTTCATGACCCCAGCATTGGGAACCCAATCCACATCACCATTGTGCGCCTGATCCTGCTGGAAGATGAAGAGGTAAGAGGTCATGTGGACCCATACTGCCTTCTAGCATTGACCGCTGAGCCCTCCTGCCTGTACCCTGAGTTTCCCTGTATGTAAATACACAGTAAAGACCCCTGGACCTGGACAGTTTCCTCTACTATGCTCTAGTCCCTGACTCTCCCTCTGTTAGGCCTCCGGGTCCCCCAAGGGGTAGCTACAGGAAGGGGAGAGGCTAGAGGCCAACTGCTTGCCCTCCCACTGCCCCCTATACTTCTGCATCACCTTTGTGTGCTGAGAATTGGGCCTGTCCTGTGGAAATCCAGGGTAAGCATGAGTGGTCGCTCTCTCTGCTGCAGAAGGACTTAAAGATCACACACCATGCAGACAACACCCTGAGAAGCTTCTGCAAATGGCAGAGGAACATCAACATGAAGGGGGATGCCCACCCCCAGCACCATGACACGGCCATCCTGCTCACAAGGTATACCTGCCACAGGAGAGTAGGGACAGGAAGATCACCTCTAATGGGGGCACTGGGGGAGAGGTATGTCTGCTCAGGTTCTGCATAGCTTGGCCTGAGGCTGCAACACTGGGAAGTCTTTGGGGGTTTTGTTGTTGATGTTTTGTTTTGTTTTTGTCTTTTTGAGACAGGGTCTCGCTATGTAGTTTAGGCTGGCTTGGGCTCACTTTGTAGTTCAGGCTGGTCTTGCAATGATTTGCCTGTCTTAGCCTCCCAAGTGCTGGGATTATAGGAGTGTGCAGCCATGCCAGACTGTTTTATTGTAACTGGATTTGTATTAGGTTGTCAGAAACTATGCAGAGAGGCCATGTATCTCCTCCATACCATTTGTCCACTGGTAACATCCTACATGGCTGCAGTGCAATATCCCAAGCAGGAGGTTGACATGAATACTGTCCACTTAGTGAGATTTCATCAGGCTTTCGTGTGTGTGTGTGTGTGTGTGTGTGTGTGTGTGTGTGTGTGTTTACTGCACACCTGCTGTATAGGTTCACATGCCCACAGTCCAGATACAGAGCAATCACATCAGAAGTCTATGACATACCACCTGTTTATGTCACAGTTTCCAGCCCACTTCTGGCATCTCCTCATCTGACCAAAGACTAAGTGTTGGACTTGTTCTCTCTCTACTGAGTGCCAGCAGCTTCTATCAGCACCTTAACTAAGACAGGACTAAACCTGCACTAGGCACGTGCCCACCTCAGGCCCACATGGGTGTCTGGTGGGTTGTGTGTGACTGAGGGTACCTGCTTTGCAGTGGCCACTGTGTTGGCCCGATGTCACAAGATGGCAGAGGGAATCCCTCTTGAGCCCTCTCTTGGGTGAGCACAGGCCCTGTCTTGCCTCCTCTGAAGGCTGCATCTCTCCCTCTGTACAGGAAGGACTTGTGTTTAGCCATGAACCAGCCCTGTGAGACCCTGGGCCTGTCCCATGTGGGAGGCATGTGCCAGCTGAACCACAGCTGTAGCATCAATGAGGACACGGGCCTGCCACTGGCCTTCACCGTGGCCCACGAGCTTGGGCACAGGTACCATGTTTCTCCTCTCTGCCACCCCAAATCCCAGCTTCAGCTTCCCACATTGGAGACCAGTAGATAGATTATAAAGTCACCAAGAAATGAAACTTTCTAGGGTGGACCAGGCCATCAAACTGTACCACATACAGCCAGCCCCCTGCACTGTCCCCATCCACCACTCGGCTGGGCTGCTTCCTTGTTGAGTAGAAGGGAGGCCCATGAGGCATGTCCAGGGCTGACCCAGTGGGGCCTTATTGGAAGAGGTTTAGGATGGGGCTGCAGCCCTTAGCTGTCCCTGTTCTTTCTGCTCCATGACCTGGGCAAATGTCAAGCCCCAGAACACTGTGTGCTCCCCATAGATTGAGAGATAGGCAGTGATATCCAATATGCCGCTTCTGACACCTGAGCCTGGGGCTCATCTAGAGCATGGCTACTTACCTGCTGAAAATAGTGGCACCTTAGATGTCCAGCAGGCTGGTCAGGACGGGACAGAGGTGTGGAGTCACCCACTCAGACATTCTGGTGGCAGTCACATACCTAGGGCCATGAAGGCATAGGTAGAAGAGCTCTCTGCCCTATTCTGCCACTTATTAACCATTACTAGGATCAGTCCTTAGCCTTCTGGGAGCAATGACAAGGACTGAGGCAATGCTACTTCTGAACATGCCTTGAGGAAGAGTATTTCCCTGTGTCCTTCCTGAGAGTGGTCTCTGGAAACCTTTCTGGAAGGTGATAGCTCAGATCCTTTGACCCAAGGACATCCCTTGGGATGGGGACTAGGGGGAAGGCTCTGCCCACCAGCTCTTGATGTGGATGAAATTACATGGCCATAACAGACTCCCACATGTGCCATCTGCTTGCTGTTATTGGCTATCTCGGGGTCATGGACAGAGCTGTTCTGGGTTCCTGGCCCTTATGTCAAGCTAAGGTTAATGCACCTGATGGAAGATCTCAGGGGACCTCAGCTGTCATACCCACAATGGGCACTAAGGAAATGGCTCAGCGAAGGCGTACAGCCATCCAGTGACACAGCCAGCCTAGGGGACCCTTGGGGGAAGGGCAGCCCATGGCCTCCCTCCCAGCTCACCTGCCCCTGGGGCCTGTGCTCTCACACAGTTTTGGCATTCATCATGACGGAAGCGGCAATGACTGTGAGCCTGTTGGGAAACTGCATTTCATCATGTCTCCACAGCTCCTGTACGACTCTGCCCCGCTCACCTGGTCCCGCTGCAGCAGCGAGTACATCACCAGGTTCCTCGAGTAAGTGTCCCACAGCCTGGGCACTCTGCCCTGACTTCCGGGTCACAGTGCAGATGGTGGCACTGCAGTACCAGGGAACAGGATGCACAGAGAAGCCCAATAGGTGCAGGCCTGCAGGCCCAGGGCCCCAAGGTTCTGCTAAAAGGGGACTCCTGGGTAGATACTCATGAACACAGGTGAAAAGCAAGGATGCTCTTGGCAGAGGACACAGGCAAAGCCAGCCATCTAGCAAAGAACACCTTTCTCACTTCCCGTCTTGGGTTAGCAGCAGCCTGGCCTTCTCTGAAGCTGCTTCTCTCCACCTGTGCAGGAAGGACTTTTGTGCCACCAGTTGTCCCTGATGTTCTCAGAGAAGTGTGCAGTTATGAAAAGCTCTCAGGGCAAAGGCTTCAGAGGTTGTGAGCCTTGAGGGAGGCTACATGTCCCAGTGAGAAGCAGGGGAACTGAAATAGAGTTTTTCCTTTCTTTCATCATCTCTTAATTTGCTAAGATATTCACATGTAATGTTTTACATAAGAAAAAATTTAAATTTAAGTCATTAGCATGCATTTTATCTCCCATCTTCACATGCAGTTTCCATTTTGCACTGCTGGGGTTTGATCCTGGAGTTGTGCATGTGCAAGACAAGGGCTCTGCCACTGCCATGAACTCTAATTTTAAATGAAAATACATATAAGAGTATGCACAATTCGTCTTTCAACATGCACATTTACTGAGCAGTGGAGATGCTGCTCACACTCACTCAGTTATTTCCAGACTCATTTTCTTCCTTAATATGTGCACTCTGCCTTCAGCATACTGAGACGTAAGGAGAAGTGGCGAGCTGGAGGAGTTGTACAGTGGCCTTTCTTTCCTCTGTCTCCCATATCATACTTGTTAGTAAAGTGGCTGACTCTGACCAGCACAGGACCTTAGTAGGTTTTTCATTACATCTTCAGTTTCATTGATTGATATTGGTTTATTTAGAATTTTTATATCTTCTTGATTCAGCTTTGATAATTCATATATACCTAGGAATCTGTCCATTTCTTCTGCATTTTCCATCTTATTAGAATACAGTTCTCAAAGTAGGTATAGACGATCTGGATTTCTGCAGGATCTGATGTGATTTCACCCTTTTCATTCCTAATTCTGTAGATTTAAGTCTTTTCTTTCCTTTTTTTTGATAAGGTTGGCTAAGAGTTTGATGATTTTATTTAATCTTTCAAAGAACCAATTATTCAGTTCATTGATCCTCTTTCTTTTCATTGATTTTTTTTTTTAGTTTACAATGCATTAATTTCTGCTCTGATTTATCATTTCCTCTCTTATGAGCTTTGGGCTCACCTGCTCTTCTTTTTCTAGAAGTTTGAGGTTCCACATTAAGTTGTTTATTTGCAGTTGTTCTACTTTCGTGATGTGAGCACTCACGGCTCTAAATTTTCCTCTTAGGACTGCTTTCATTGTGTCCCATAAGTTCCAGTATGTTGTATTATCATAATCACTTAATTGTAGAAACTGTCTAATTCCTTCTTTAATTTCATCTGTAACCCATTTGTTGTTCAGGAGAGTGTTATTTAATTTCCATGTATTTATGAAGTTCTTATGGTTTCTTGTACCGTTGATTTCCAGTTTCATTGCACTATGGTCTGATAATCGTGGGAGAATTTTCCTTTGCATGTTTTATGTTTTATGAGCATGTTTCTTACGTATGTGCTATGAGCTAGTATGTGATCTGTTTTGCAAAATGTTCCATGCGGCACAGAACCTTGGTGAGAACAGGTGACAGAAACTTGTTGCCTTCTTTCTGTGTTGGAAGCACATTTGGGTGGGAAGTAAGGCTTCTGGGTTGTATAAGTTCCTTTATCTATCGTTGTCAACTCGATAAGCATATCTTCACATGGTTTGTTATTGTCTTTTCTGAACAGCATGTTGTAAGACTCTCAGGACTCTGTGCTCAGGGGGCAAAGGAGTGGAGGGCACAGTGGGAAGATATGGGTGTGTCTCTTCTGCTCATGCCCATGCTCCCATGTCCCACGGGACCTGATTTAACAAAGCTCAAGTTCAGAGACCCTGAGTATTCAAGATAGTGGCAGCAGAGCCCTTGGTCACCTCGTCAGGTAGTTCCTTTAGAAGCAGCTCACCAATTAAAACTATTCCAGTCCTTCTTGCCTCGAACAAAGAATTGGATGTGATAAACTACAAACAGTGTCAGAAGTTTATTTGAAAAGTGAAAGGTGAATAGGGTAAGGGAGGAATTAGCACTGTAGAGCAAACTTGGACTGAACAAAGAAAGGACAGGATAAAAGCAAAAATAAAAGCATACCCTGCATCTGGGAGATGCAGACTAGACACAGGATTGGCTACTGTGCAGAGTCACAGGAGTGGGCTCCCTGGGCATCTCATCTTTTATGCCATCCACATCTCATAGAAGCCCATAAGAAGTTACACACATAATGTCCTAATTGTTTGGCGCTGACCTAGAATGTTATAAGTGACAGGTCCCACTTATTTCCCCAGCCAGTTTTCACACATCTTTCCTCCTGTATCCTTCTAAAAGACAAATCCCATAAATTTTTATGGGATGCTAAGGGAGTGGTGATTTCTGTCTTCTATAGCTTATTTGAGCTGAAAGGAGCTATAGGGATTATGTACTCTCCAACTGTCTTGGCATGTTGTGGCTTATGACTGGTTGAAGAAGCAACCTGTTACAAATTGAGAAAATTGTTAGTGACCCTCAAGCTGCCTGTTTGATGCGAGAAACATTTTAGCTCAAATATGAGGAGCGGGTCAGATGCCACACTCGCTCTAGACCAAACTTGGTCCTTAGACAGTTCAGATGGGACTCATTTTAATTTGGAAAAAGGAACCCAATTATCTATCTATTTCACCATCTTTACTATAGTGGGTGTAGCAAGGATCACTGAGAAGGGTCCTTTCCGTTTTGGCTCTGACTGACCTACTGGTGTTCCCTGTCTGCAAGTTTTCACAAGCACTGATCCTCCAGGGCAACACTAAGTAGTATCCCTGGGCTAGGAACTGGCAGGACTCTGTTCCCATATATCTGGATAGCTTGTCGTACTTGGCCCAGATTGAAGAGATATTATAAGAGTCTCATAGTCTGTGGGTCTACTGTCATATCAGGGCATAAAAATGGGCTTTTGTATAACATCTCAAATGGCCCAAACTTGGCTCAGTTTTAGGAATGGGCTAAAGCTGCCTCATGGGTGCTGTTGGTAGCAATTAGACCCAGGACTCAGATTTCTCTTGACAGAATTTTGCCAGAGTTTGATTAGAGTCTGCTTGGCTTTCTCTGCCTTCTCAGAAGATTGAAGCTGCCAAACAGAATGAAGGTGATACTTTATTCCTAAACCCTTCACCATTCCCTGAGTTATTTGGGAGGTAAAAGAAGATCCATTGTCTCTCTGGAGAGAGTGGGGTAGTTCAAACCTAGGGACAGTTTCTTTAAGAACACCTTGACTACCTAGGTAGCCTTTTCTGAACAAGTAAGAAAGGCTTACATCCAGCCTATGAAGATGTCATAGGACCAACATCTATTTATAAAGCCTCTCTGGAGTGGCATGTAGGTAAAGTCTAATTGCCAGTTTTTCCAGGGTAGGTTCCTTTCCACTATACAGGTTCTAATAAAGGAGGCAATTTGAGCTTGCCCAGGTTGTTACAGGCACAAAGTGGGCAAACTTTGCAGACCTCTTTAGTGGTTTCAGCTAGTCCTAGTTCTGTGAAAACTCTAGTGATCATTTCCAGCTCTTTCCATACAGAAGGAATCATGAATTGTCTTTATAGCTTTCCGCTGTATTCCTTGGTAAAGGACCAGTTTGTTTCCTAAATACCACCATAATCCCATTTTAATTTTTTCTTGTCCTAACACCCATTTATCTTCCTCAGAAATATAGACTGGTGGGCTGGGGATTTAGCTCAGCGGCATAAGCGCCTGCCTTGGAAGCAGGCAGTCGTGAGTTCGATCCCCGGTACCAATAAAAACAAAAAAAAAAGACAAAAAAAAAAGAAAAAAGAAATATAGACTGGTTTTAATGGTTCCTTGGGAACTGGAAGTAAGGCTAGAGTTTTAGGGGCTATAGGGCTTCCCTTTTTGCCTTTCTATCAGTCTTTTCATTTCCCAAAGAGATTTTAGACATATCTCTCTGGTGTCCTTTACATTGCATGACTGTGCGACCTGTCTGAGAACATGGACTGCCTCTAGGAGTTGCAAAATTTCTGGTTTGTGTTTCATAGATAATTGTTTGTCAGTAAACCTGTTTCTTTACAAATTGCAACATGGGGTTTGCCCATGTAGCACCAGAAAAGCATATCTGGAGTATATAGAGATGTTTAACCTTCTGCGTTCTCCTAACATCAATACCCAAATAAGAGCCACCAGCTCTGCCTTTTGAGCAGATGTACCTAGGAAAAGAGATTTAGCTTCAGTGACCTGTTGTGAGCTGAAAGCTGCATAACCTGCTTTTTGATGTCTTTCTTGGACCAAGCTACTTCCATCAGTAAACTGTATCTCCTTAGATCTTGGAGAAGCAGGATATGGATATCTTGTCTGCTTGCATAGATCATGTTGTGTCCAGTGGGAAGTCTCTGAGTGACCCTCCACCTCTTTTCAGGTCCTTGCCTTCACTCTAGTAAATAGTGGGAAAGTGGGGCTCTTAGCAGAAAATGGTGGAGTTAAGACTTACATAAAGGGGCTGGGATTTAGCTCAGCAGCATAAGCACCTGCATGGAAAGCACTGGTTCAGGACTTCAATTCCGGTACCAAAAAAAAAAAAGACTTACATAGTACAAAATGGAAGTTTATTTAAGTTGTGGCAAACGCAGAGAAAGTAGAAGAGCTATCTTAGCAGTAGAGTGGTGCTGCAAGACATGAGGCGTCCTACTTGAGATGGCCTGAAGAGTGTGAGACGTATCCACACTTATAGGGCAAACTGTTTTGTTGATTGATGTGGGCTGAGCCAGTCAAGGTCTAAGCCTTTGTTTCTGGGAAGGGTATACGGTCA